TGTATCATCTAGCATAATCACTTAGACCTTCTCTGTTACACTCTATTTTCTCTTAGATTCAATGTTGTTTTGCTAGCAATAGTCTCATTTTATAGCAAATATGAATGATTTTAACAATCATTTCTGTGGGACTTGCATCCACTCTCTCAATTGGTTTTCATAAAATTAGAGATGATGACCTTATATTAATAGATTTGTTTTTCCTCAACAGGACTTTTAAAACTGGAAATGCCCAATAAGAAGATGCCAAATAATATGTCACTGTGTTTGGAGAGGATTCAAACAGAGTGCTCGCACCAAAATGATTCACATTCAGAGAATCAACTGCAGGAGATACTGCACCCTCCTCTTGTTCAAGCAAAGCTCCATTCAACAATGCAGGAAACCCAATCTCAGTTTCTGTAGAGGATGATTCAAGCAGGTGGACAGCTTTTTTTTTTTCCTAATAAGGTCAATGCCAAAATACATATCACAGAATCATACACTAATTTAGATTGGATGGAACCTAAGGAGATATTTTAGTCCAATTTGCTCAAAGCAGAGTCAGATAAGGCTACTTAGAGTTCTATTCAGACAGGTCTTGGCAACTTCAAGGAGTGGAGACTGGGCGACCTAATCCACTGTTATATTACCTGCACAATGAAATAAGATTTATTTCTATCCAACTACATCCTCTGTTCCTTTGTTCTTTTGTCTCTTAGCACTCCACTATGAAGAGCCAAGGGCTCTCCAAGGCCCTCTTCTTCTTAAACACTAGTTCCCCTGAGCCTCCAATTGTCTTCTGCTGAGCTTGCTCTAGTTTGCTGGTGTCTTGTTTGTGTTTGAGGGCCCAAAGTAAATGAAAATACTCCAGATGTGTACTAACAAAGCTCAGTAAAGGGAAAATAACTCTTCTGATCAATCTACTGGCTGTGCTCCTGTTAATACAACCCCAGAAGCTGTTGGCCTCCCTGGCTGTCAGAGCACACAGCTGACTCATATTCAGTTCTCTGCCTGTCTGAAACCCCAGGTCCTTTACACCAGAGCAGCTTACAGTCTGGGCTGTCACAGGAGGCCATTCCTTTCCAGGGACAAGATTTTACATTTGTTCTTGATGTATTTTTAAAGGTTCACACTAGCCATTTCTCTAGCCTATATTCTTCTGAATGGCAGTCCTACCAGCAATCATGAGAGCACTCTGTCGCCTCTTCTAGAGCATGCATTTATAAAGATTTTAAGAACATTGACCTCTCAAACACAAGAGCTTCTAGCTCTAGAGGGAGTCCTAATTGTAGAAAATATTTTTTTTTTCCTGAAGTCAGCAATTCCTAAATAAGGGATTAAAATAAACTGTACATTTATTTGCTGAAAGGAGGTCCAGGCCACTCAATTCTTGCCCAGAGTGGTAATTATGTTACGTTTGGCAATGAAATACTTGATGCTTGCAGACTCAGCAGTTACTGCTGGGTTAATAAACACATGAGGTGCCGATCATTTTTTCCTGTTACAGAAGTGCTATTCACCTTTCCAGTCTTCAGCCAGTCATAATGTGATGGAACATACCATTCCTCTTCTCGCTGATAACGAAGGGCTGATAACAAAAACTCTGTCCAATCTCGTTTTCCTTTGGGAAACCTCTGCTGAGCTAAAAGTAATAATATCTAAGTCCATACCAAAGACATAAAATCTCCTTATTCCTGAACGTGTAGAGTCTGTCATCTTTTGTCAAAAGAAGCAATTAGGGAAATGATTTAGTGAAGATTGCTTCAGAAATAAGGATGAAACAACCTCAGGAAATTCCATCAAATATTAACACCTTCTCTTTTTGATTTTATGCTGCTACAGAAGTATTATATTTAACTAGTGGTACCTTACAATTTCTATCATTTTTCTCTTTTTGCTTTGTTAGTTCATAAAGCAATGCACAAAACAGACATCATTATTTCATGCACAGAGTTCCTGCTTACATCAACAAGAGAACACTCATCTAAGGTTAACCCACAAAAGGCACCGCTAACAAAGCTCTTTCTGAACTCAAGTCATTGTACCTTTTCTGAAACAGAAAAAGTAGTGCACTTGCCAGGCAAGTTATGGCTACGAGGAGCATTCCCCCCCAGCCTCCAAAGGGTTTGTCTGCAACTAATGGAGAACTTCTCAGGTTACTAATTCAGAGCTTTCGTACCCTGACCCTTCCAGAAACTCTGGGAAATTTTGGTCACAGAATACACCTTCTGCCTCCCTTTCTTCTCTTGTCCTTTGTCTGCTTTGGCTATAGATATTCTGTGACAGAGCCTCTTTTTATATGTGTAAGTCACATACAAATAACAGAGTTTTTTATTGGTAGCTGCTTTGTGAACCAGATGGCCCTTGAAACACTATTCCTTCAGAGATGCAAGATTTGCCACCACTTCTGACACAGTAATACACCAGCCCTCCTGAACTTCCAGTACTCATGAAAGAAAAGAAGTCAAACTACTTTTTGCTTCATTGTTTATCAGGTTACAGATTAGGGAAACTACCAGATGCATCAGCCATGCTAACGGCGACAAACCAGTAGCTTTGGGATCCTTTTCTGTCAAGACACAAGAAAGCAACAGTAGTGGCATTTGCCAAGTGCAGGCATAGTAAGGCACCTCCAATTCCTCCTCCTCTTCCCATGGGAATGCAACAAAACCAGAAGCCCTAAAAGCACGATTCCATTCAGCCACCTGCTTGGTATTATGATCACTTTAAACATCCCTTTTGCAAAAATATTTACCCCAAATCAGCCAAAATATCGTGGGTAGTACACTTCTAGCTAACTCTCCAGACTCTCATCTGCACCCCTATCCCCCCAGAAAGCCCATAAAACAATGTTGTAACAATCTATGGCCTTTTCAAATAGCCAAGACAAGTGAACACAAATATGGAATCCTCATTTAAATTCAATGAATAAAAAAGCAGGTTTTGAAATAAATGTTGCATGGCTAAAATTTTTGCCAGTCTAGCATTTTCTTCACACAATCCAAAAAAAAAAAAAAAAAAAAAAAAAAAAAATCAAGGAAGGTTGACGTAAACAGACTGCCAAGGAGATCGTTCAGCTTAGCATCACAGGAAGATGTGCACTCTATGAAGCCCATACACACTGCAGTAGAATTTCAGAACCATGCAGTTTGCTCACTCCCACCTCGAATCAAGAGAGGTCTTCAACATGATATTGCTTTTGTATGCTGAAAGCCCAATTGCAGCACTCAGCTACTGGCAACACAAGGTGTTTGCTATTTTCAGTTACGCACCCTAAAACATCAAGAAACATCACAGGGAAATAGTAGCTAAAAAATATGTAGAGAAATACAGCATTTTTATCTCCTTAAGAGACATTGTTCAAGATATGCAAACAAAATCAGCACAGTCTACAAATCAAAGTGTTTGTTGTGACCGTATTTTAATCACCAGGTAAGACTTCGGTCTGAAAAAACAGCACTCTATTTCACACAAGCTGCAATTCAATGGTACGTGATGAGTTACATTTTCAGAAGGAAATCCTGTCAAGTCAGCAAGACATACAGATGAAGATCTAATGAAATAACCTATGGTTAGGTGGATTTGCTAAAAACTTCTGTTCTTAAGTGACAGAAACAAAACTGAAGTATATGGGGACTATGAGAACAAAAGGTTAGGAGATGGCAGAGATGCAGGCATATGGATACAACTGTGAGAATGGGTGGTAGTTATGGTTGAAATACTGAATATGAAGAAAGCTTTATTAACACACTGAATATCAGACTGATAGAAGTAGTCCAAGCATTACAGCCTTAGGAAAGAGCAGCAGAAATTTGCTGGGAATAAAAAACTAACAAAAAAAAAAAAAAAAAAAAAAAAAACCTTGGGGTTTCTGGTCAACACATAGTTGAACACAAACCATCAGTGGGTCCATGTGCCCAATAGCATCCTGGCCTGCATCAGAAAAAGCGTGGCTAGCAGGAGTAGTGCTGTCCCTCAGGACTCAGCCCTGATGAGAGCACAATCTGAACAATGTGTTCAGTTTGGATCCCTCACTATGAGGATATTTTATTTCTTGAGCAAGTGCAGAAAAGAGCAATGAAGCTGTTGAAGAGGCTACAAGACAGGAGTTATGAGGAGCAGCTGAAGGCACTTTGATTCTTCCAGAATAGAGAAGAGACAAGACCCCACTGCCCTCTACAGCTACTTGAAAGGAGGTTGCAGTAAGGTGGGTGCTGGTCTCTTTCTCTGTTGATACATGATAGGACACTTGAAGTAACAGCCTTAAGTAGCACTAGGGGAGATACAGATGAGCAACCTCCAAGAATTTTCTTAATGTTTCAGTTTTGAATAGGCTGCCCAGGGAGGTGGTAGAATCCCATCCCTGGAAGCATCGAGGAGGTGTGTAGGCTTGGCACTAAGGTACATAGTTTAGTTGATGGAACTCAATAAGACAGATCGATGTTTGGACTCAATGGATCTTAAAGGTCTTTTCCAACCTAGATGATTCTATAACTTTTTTTAATTAACATTTGTGGACCACCACAACTGACATCCCAGATGGTCATGGCCAGGTTTGAGTAAAACTACCACATGTTCTTCTCCAGATACCACAAACTATAAAAAGAAAAGCTAGGTTACTAGTGCCTGCAAGACTGCAGAACTACTCAGATACTGCTAGAAGCCAGTAACAGAAAGAAAACGAAGCTAGCTGGTCTGAATCTCAACCCTAAGCTGGAGGCAAGGAGCTCCATGGGACAGGAACTCGGCTGAAATCTCACACCAGACTCTAGTGAAAAAGGAGGAGACAGAATAGAACAGCATGATTTCAGCAGCCATGGTTGCATTGGAAAGTAGCAGTGTCTGCCACCTAGTGACTTTAAGCCAAAGATGAATTGCAGACCTTTCCAGTATTGTAGGGATAAGGCTACAAGAGCTTATTTTAGAGTTCTGCACAGCAGGAAGCTACTGACATTGCTGTACAACCACTTTTCACGGTCACTAAAGAGAAGCGAGCGTGTGTATCTAGATATTCATACCTTTCAGGGAGCTATGAAGTTCATTCCAGTGACCGGCTCCAGAGTAGATGAAGCAATTCTAATTCTCATAAAGCAGTTCTAAAAATGAACCAAAAATTGCTAAAATGCATATACTTACGTAGCACAGAGAAAAGGGGCTAACCTGCTGACAAAGAAGCAAAACTACAGCTGACAGGTTCTCAGCCTTGACTAGGCAAAGCATTCACAGGTAGACCAACAGTCATATACAGAAAGAAGAATGGAACTCACCCACCCGTTGAAGAAGTTCTATGATCGTACAGCACTCCCTTCCAAAGAGCAGCCTAGATCCAAGCAATGCTCTTCCTTCAGTGGATGGCCCTCGTATGAGCCCAGGCTGGGTCCACCCCTTCTGGTCACATGGGGAACACAGGTGCAAACAATTTGGCTGTGCTCCCTGGGCCAGCCACATTCCTTCGCCAGGTGCTCAATCACCAGTTGAAAGCAGGACATAACAGTTCCCTACAGTAGTCTAGGACCCCCTGTTCTATTACAAGTGCCTATCATATAGCTGAGCCAGGTAAGAAACAAGAAACCTACCAGAAGATACGAACCTGAGTTACAGCTTATGTTTGTCTTTTTCTATAAAGAATTATCATGATGATCAGATGAAACCAAGATGCTCACTGTAGAAATGTTGAATCTGTGGACCTTGCTACCTGCTATTGTTTGTGGCTTTATCCTGGTGCAAAAAAATAAATGCTTATAGGAGAACAAAAAAAGAATGTCTATTTAGTAGATAGCTGGCATGTACTAATGACTTTTTCCTCTGAGAGAAGCAATGTTCAGAGGTACCAGGTGCTGCCTAAATACTGAAGCCAAGGGGACAGCAGCAATTAATGTGTAGATGGACTTACAATATTCAGATATGTGAATGTATCTGCACTTCTTGAAGATTCCTTGCGAGTCTTCACAAGAGTACTTTTGTTACTGTTAATTGATCTTCTCTGCTCACATCAAGAAGGGATATTTCTGCTTTATGCATGCAGCTGTCTAGAAGCAGGAACTGGCCGTGTTCAGCTATTGCTGACTCATTACAAGGAGTTCGTAGAATTCATCATCATTAAAAAGACTTAAAATACGTGAAGATAGGATGGGGCTTTTTAATATTAAAATATCTAAGTTTTTTCTATTAGTTAATGCCTGAAGTTAACATATGTGTGCTGTGTGGTAATTAATCTTCCTAGCAGTATCTCGATGGACAGTATTTCTACTAGAGGGCCTTCCTTAGCACTACATAAAATGGAATTTTTGAAAGGTCAGTTGATGTTGCGGAAGCCCTAGCAGTAACTTATGCTTAGACTGCTAATACACTGGCATTTCTTAAACAACCTGATAGAATTTAATTATATTACCTTATGCTACAGTAACCAGCATTAACTCAGGTTAAAGCAAAAATAATTTGGCTTAAATCTTCCATGCATGATACTACATAGCACAATCTCTGTGAATGATAATTTGCCAGGAACACTCAGGAATCCTATTAGATCTCTTTATTTGGAAGCCAGAAGATATACAAGACACAGCAAAAATTACAAGCTTACTTCACTGATTCATAATAAGTGCAAAATACTAACAAAGCCATTGGCAGTGATGTTTGAGTTTAACTAACAACATTCTGTCAAATTAGTGATTTAGAAATAAGATACTCAAAACAATAATTTGTAATTTGAGAATCCTTATTTGCCAAAAACATTCTGTGCAGAACATTTACATTTAAAATGATCATATGTGCAGTCATCATTGAGAATATTCGCTAGGACCTTCTCTTTCATACACACCATAAAATATGTTTTGGAAAGAAATTCTACAAATAAATCCAAGAGACTGAAGATTTTATTACTTTGGGGGCAGGCAGTCAAACCTTCTTGAAGTCATTAATATCTAGAGATGACTTGTCTCTCTTCAGTTATTTGACAGTGCTTTTGAAAACCATAGCATCTGATACTCTGACAAAGATTTACTGAAGCAATGATGTGAGGATAAACCTAACATATAAAAACATTATCATGATCCTCTGCAAATAATATGGCTAAACAAATCTAGTGATTCATTGTTATTTTCAAGCAGCTTTATAGTGATGACACCAAGAATTTGACAGAGAATTCACCAGAAAGCCATGAAAACAGCACCTTATCTACATGTACTACGACAGTTAAAGAACTTGAAGCAAATAAAACATTTTTTTCTCACACTAGTACAGCATCTCTCTCCATCAGGGTGGTTTAACTGCACTAGAAATGAGTGAAGTTATTTAGATTTTTATCATTAGCAATTTGGAAGACCAAACAAGACACATGAATCAGAGAAAATGGTGTGATAACAGCATAGCTAAATGAAAACTTTTCATCTGTTTCTGAGATTACATAATATGAATAAATATACCTAATTCAGTAAATACTAGATATTTTTCCCATGAGTGGTCCTCCTATCACTTGTGGGAAGCAAGAATGACGAGCTTCTTCTAGAGGAAGGGCATTAAAAATCCCAAAGATTTCCACGTAGCACACTGGATGTATTTGTAACTGGGTGCCCACACAATTAATTCCCATGATTCTCTTAAGCTAGATGCTCCCACCTGACCAATTTATGGGTCAGCAGTTTAAAAAACAAAAGAAAAAAATAAAAAACACAACAGAAAAATTGCCACCAAATTCAGCCTTTTTTGTTTTTTACATATGTCAAGACTCTTCTCTGCTGTTATAAGAGGCATTTTTCCTCAATGAATTCCAATTTTACTTTAATTTTTGCCTAAAAGCTTGGATGTGTTTTATTGTTGTTATTGTTTTGTTGTAATTTTGTTTTTGTTACTGCCTTTCAAGTTATGATACAAAAGATATGGGTCAGTCACAACCTTTTTCATTGTGCTTCTTACAGAAGGGAAGATCTGCAAAAGTGTAGTTGGCAGCAGTTCTAATATTTCCAAGCCAAATCCACTCAAAGCCAGGAAATACAAAAGTACATAATTTCCTTCAGCAGCTACACTTCTATGCCGTTTTCCAGTCGCCATCATCTTTCTCCCACACCATCTGTTGCACTACTTGTGATTTTTGCATCTATCCTACCTAAACCTTCCTCTAAACTTCCAAACTGTGGATTCATGCTCCATTTTCTTTTTTCTACCTATGTGCCCCCCAAAACTTTAGGCCAGCTCAGACTCAAAGAGAAACTTCTCACCATTTTATCTTTGGCTATTGCCTACTCCATGGCTCTCCTTCCTTAGGTTCTTTGTCTGTGCTCTTCACACTCCAGCTCTTTCTATTTCTCCATCTTATGTTAATGAATTCCATTCATTGAGTTTGGTAGCCAAGCTCTATAATCCTCATCAATGTCTTGCCACATTCTAATACAGCTAGTTATCTAAATTCTGCTAGTTATCTTCTCTTACTACTTCACATCCTCTTTTTCACTCCTAATACCCTCATTGACTTACAAATTGTAACTGTTCAACTATCACAGAATTAAAAATTGATATTTTTTCCTTGTTTCTAATTCAAAAAAGGGAGGTAGGACTCAAGCTGTACAGAAAAGCTTCTAATTTTCCAGTTTGACCTACTACTGATATGGCCACTGAGATGATCCAACAAGTTGCAGCGCTGGCTGATAGCATGCTAGACACTCTTTTAAAACAAATAAAGCAGTCATGCTTCCAAATTACCTGCATTTTCCTGCACTGCACAGTACAATTTCCTTAAATTCCATTTCACAATCTCATTTCTACCATTTCCCTTGTGGTACTTCTTATTATCACCAGCAGAACCAGAGGAACTGAGCAGGGAACTTGTAAATGGAAAGAGAACAGTGGAAGTAAATTATGCTGTGAAAAGAATAGTGAGATTGATGTAGACTGCTCATTTTGGTACTGAAATTATTTGTAGGATGAGTAGCTTCTGAAGAAAATATAATTTTATGCCATGGTACTCTACCCAATGTGCTTACACACCAAAACACATTCTCAAGTCCAAAAAAGGTTTGCTAAGCTTTGATTATATGGCCTGGAAACTCCAGTTACGCTACAAGTCTGTTTATGGAGTCATTCATTCCGTGCATGAGATGTTCACATTGCAATTTTTATTAGCCTTCAGAGCATGCTTTCCATGTCTCCTTTGTAAGGAAAGTACTGGGTGACTCAGCAAGCAGTTTGCTGCAAACCTATTGCCCATAAGCCCATTACTGATACAATCAATTTAGCTGCAACTACCACCGGGTTGCTTTATCATAAAATCCCTGCAGTAGAAGCTTGCAATGCACTGAGAATTCATGGTTCAGGCTCTTAAATAGTTACTGCATCTAAGACTGAATGACTGCAGCATTTTGGAAATGATGAAAATAATTTTAAATAAAATTAGTACAATGAAGTCTAAGATAATTGCTGGGGTGTGGGAGTAGAGATGTTGGGAGACAAGACATGTTATTTATGTGTTTATTCTTCTAAGTCATTCTTGATCTGGAAGGATAAATGAAAGACTTCTAGCAATTTTTGACATATAAATGCAGATCAGCTTACGTTCTTATCTCTCCAGTTCCTAGTATTTGTGGGGAAAAATATGCATATTTTCAAACCTTAACATGCACCTGAGCCAGCAATATGCCTCTAATCAGATCTTCACTATGATGCATATTTCTGAGTGCAAATTTAGAACAGAAACACATTAAACACATTCTTTCTGAAATACAATTGTAACACCTCTCTCAGTTTCAATTAAAGCTAATTTCCCAGTAGCCTACTGACTGACCTCAAACAGGGGCTCTAGAACCTACTATTTCCTATGTCACGAAATACCTATTATAAAGGGTATGTCACCAATACATAGCATATATAGGATGTGGCCTATCCCAGCTGAGAGCCAGGTATACCAGAAGATGTCAAGATGCTCGGTTGTCTCAAGTTTAGGCTGCGCAGCTTCTGACAAGGAGAAAGTTAGATCGTATTACAGTGCAGGTTACGAAGCTCACTTCAGATGGAGTTTTAAAGTGGCACAGATAGTACCCATATCCTTTACAGAGGCTGGCCATAGCTAAACGAATCAGTGCTTGTCAATGCTTGGCTGGGAGGTTCTTTCCATCATTTTCATTATTTAGAAGTACTCCTGTAATGGTCTGAGGAAAATCACAGTTTCCTTTAAAATAACTTGAATCATGTACCAGAAGAATAATCTGCTGTAGTTTGAGTAAATTGATTTTGCTAGGCAAGAAAGGAAAGGAATTGATATGCAAGTGATACATAAGTATATGCAACTAAGCATTTAAAAAACAGATTATATTGCTCTAAAGTAAGTGCACTGTGCTTAACATATCAATAATTGCGCATGCTATA